TTGAAAAGCGGTCCAAATGATCACGTGTTTATTTATTATTTTGGTCATGGTGATGAGTCAGGTATAAAAATATACTGTCAATATAGATTGTATATCTAATTTTTAAAATAACTATGTAAATATTCATGACATCTAAAATGAGTACGTTATTAACAATATAATTTTGAAATTTTGATGAAATGCACTAACTACATTTTTAATTTTAGAAATAATTTTCTAAAAACTTACCCTTACACAAATCTTACAACACACTAAATAGTATCAAAATCTTATATAATAAAGGCTTTATCCAATTGATTGACAAAAAAATGTACCGAGATGAATTAATGGCAACATTTAATTATATGTATCGTAATAAGAAATATGCGAAGTTGGTGATTTATATGGAAACGTGTTATTCAGGTAGGTTAAATAGGTATAATTTTTTAAGATTGTTGATTTATTATAATTTTTATTTATACATTGAAGGTGCAATGTTTACAAAGTTACCAAGTAATATTAACGTATACGCACTTTCTAGTAGTAAAATTACTGCAGTAAGTAGTCCTTGCTTATTTGATGATAACATCGGAATGTTTGTAGGTAATAAATAATAACTAAAACTACATGTACTTCCACTATTATTTTAAAAATGTATTTTAATCGTATTGTTAATTTCTACTAGGTGATTGTTTTGAAAAGCCGTGGCTAGATGATTTGGATAGTAAAAATGATCCAGACGAAACACTGCAACAGCAATACGAGTATATATACAAAACTAGTTCTGTGGTCAGGGAGAAAATTAGACTTGAATACAATGTCTCAGTGCCGCTCCCCGAGTACCCAGTACAATTTGGCGATTTGCGAATTGCTAAATTAAAAGTATCGCAATTCTTCAGCAATTGATTAGTACTATGATACTTTTGATTAGCAAGCTAATAAATACTAAATAACTTTGAAAATTGCAATTACAAATAATAATTTCCTGATTTATCGTAATAATGCTAATTTTTTATTTAATGCTAATTATACGTGTAATTCTGCTATAAAGTGTGCATAATCATATTGATTGTTGTTTAATTATTAAATCATGTTATTGAAAATAAACTTTTTTTATTTGCATGCACATATTTTTGTAACTTAGAATTGTTAATTAGAATTAACTAGAATTTATTATTGAACATATAATTACAAAACCAAGGTCGGATTGAAAACTAATTAAATATTATTAATACAAAGTATTGCTTTAATTAGTTATTATTATTATATTAGACATATACGGTAATAATAAATCAATAGAGCATTATTATTTATATTAATACACAATTATAAGAAAATACAATAATGTAGTACGATCAAATATACATACATAAATAAATATGCCAAATACACATCAGTCATACACGGCGTGTAATGGGATTTAAATTTGATCATGACCACCTTGATCCCGAGTTGATCCAGTGCACCCTTAGTCACCATGGTCACACACCTATCTTTGGAGCAATCCGTGGTCAGCCATATAACCTCCGTATATGAGCTCAAACATCTAAAATAATTTAAAAGCATATTTTAGCTTTGGGTGGTGGTGGGGAGTAGAGTGGTGTAGCGGTTAGAGTGTCGCACTAACAATATCTAATAATGGATGTTCTCGGTTTTGCAAATACCAGATTAGTATCACTACGTTAATTGGCATGAAAAAATAACATTTTGCACAATATTATGAAAATTCAGTTGCTCCTGGTCACCGAAAACCACGATAATA